GAACTTTACAAGGAATAAGCGTGTTGCTACAGGGGATCAGGGATAAAGAGTAATGGCCGACTGAAAACAAAAAGGTTCTCGTAAAATACAAGCATAACAGTGGTTAACTTAGAGCCGGGGACACAGTCATAAGGACTCCGTAGGACTGTCAAAACAAATCGACGGGGTTGCCCACATGCAATATGCATACCCAGGCGAAAGCAGAATGTTTTCTGTTCAATAATGACTGAACGCCCCACATTCACTCATGCCGCAAGACCAGGTCTTTTTATAGCAGACAGGAATATAAGAGTATCGAATGCTATTCGCTGTCAAATTCGTACCTACTAATGGGTTCGGTTACATTCCCCGACTCTTTTCTTCAGTGTTGCGATAAAAGAAGTCACAGCCGTTACACACGTTTCGTGTCATGACGATGACAGCGTCGGTAGGAGGCTTCGTCACAGACATTAAACATTATAGTAGCGATGACGGAAACAATTGCCTGAAATAGCGCTGCATATGGCAATTATATAGAGTAAACTTGGTTCACTAATGGGAACTCAATCAATCGATATTTCGATTTACAGCCGGCATACAGGGCCCTTGGATAATGAACTGACGTGAACGCCTTAAAATTGTCGTCTGTTTGGCTGCTGCTTCTGCTACTATCGCAGACGGTAAACTCCTACATGAGTTCAAAAGCTCAGAATAAGAAACGAACTCGTTGATTAACGTTCATCTGCCGCTAACGGAACTCACTCGTTCCGCTCTGCCTTGAGGCTCATTTTTGAGCTCCGCCAACAGCCGCACAGCGACAGATAGTATTGCCGGCAAAGACCAGGGAGACTGGAATGGCCATTTCTGGCTCAGGAGCCGTCAGCAGCCAGTCATACCCAACCCCAAGTGACTTCTACTTTACCCAGGGCAAACTTGCTACGATAAACGATGGTTGAAAGTCAAATGTCAACGACAACGTTTAGGGACAAAGGGGGAAGGATAGTAGAGACAAGGAGACATGCGTAAAATCAAATAAGCACAAAAAAACTGTTTTTAAAACCGGCAACAAGCTAGCTGGTATGATCTCATAGTCAAGCTCAACAAGGCTGTCACAAAGGCCTTTGTAGTGAGAAAGAGTGAACGCGGTCGCTAGGACAAGATTTTTTTCGCCTGACGTTTCGGAAGCCCGCTTGAACCCATAATCAGAGACAGTCTTTATATTAACGATCTTCAAGTCACGCATGTCAAAGCGAAATGCGCAGATAGAGGGAGCGTCGGCCGACGCGCTAAAGGTCTTTCGTACATCGAGACCGCGGTTAATAACTCGTCATAAGATAGCGAAATTAAATGTTCGAGTCTTCAGTGATTACTTGCAACGGAAGTATTCTGAAACCATTTTATCTGTACTACATGTGAGCGAATCGGAAAACATGACTGATTTAGAAGTGAAGCTTTTTTCTGTCCTATTGTATTCTACTTAGAAGACCCCGAAATCAATATGACCAAAGAGAGAATAAGCAGAGCAGTGCAGAAGGAAAACTATTTCAAAGACCGTTTTGCACGGGAACGCCTTCTCCGGCCTCTGGTTATGCAAGTAATTCTCTCCCCTTTTGCCCGTCCTAGCTCCTTTGGCTTATCACGAATTATTTCCTTGGGTTTGCTCTCCGATATAGCTGTGGAATCAGAAATGCCTTCTCGTTTGTGTCGGATTTATTCCTATCTAATGTCCACTTCATGTGTTTTTCGAATACTGCTTCGCCAGCTTAATACAGGTGAAGTCAGACAAGTCCACAAAATAATTGATTCATATAAGATTTTTATTCACTAAACGCGTCACATGTGGAAGTTGAGGGTTGTGATAACCGCCGACATAGTTATAAGGTTGCACGTGTCTGATAAGTTTAGTGCGATAACGCAGGACAATCAGCGTATAACCCCCCTATTCGAGGTAGTTCTTGCATGAAATTACCACAAAACTCCCACCAGCGGGCTACATGTAAATTACCCTGCAAGTGTCAAATCAGGGTAGGAAAAAAAAAGACGGGAGCCAATCGAAAGAAAAAGTGACGGCACATTGTGTGTGCGCGTGTCAGTCTTAACGTCTGGTGAAGACTAGAGCGGAAGTACGCATTCCCGGGCAGGGAGAAGACGCTATCTAATCGTTCAGAGAAGTTCATTGGGAGCCCGACTGCACTCTCAGCAGCCGTCAATTTGTATTGGTAGGAATTGACAGGATCCAGTGGTCTGACAGCACTATTTGCCTTTTTAGTTTCTCATAAATCTACGCCACTTTTCATCAACAGGTTCAAGAGATAAACTGGCCGGCATTTACTTACCCAACAGTTTATATAGGTAATCCAGCTATGTTTTTGTTACAGTTTTAACAGGGTAAACAAGTGCACCGGTGACGACTGTTTATATCTAATAAGTTGAACCTCTACTGTCCGCAAGGCGTAGGTCAATGAAATTTAGAGTACAAAGTGTTATACATAGTGCAGCGGAACGGCTATGACAGAGGGCTGCTACCACTTACAGCATATGTCCTATCTCATGTAATGTCAGGCGAAGTTCTGAAATATTTTTTCGAAGAAATTACCGCTATCAGACTGAGGAAACCGGCGTTGTGTGCGCTCCACATCTGGTATGGCCCAGAACCACTTAGCTGCATGTACCCGTCCGCACTCTCTTTGTCTCCCTCCCGTTCCCTAGACCGGCTCCAGCAAACCCTCCCCGCGTAACCATCCTTCTTTTATCGAACCCTTCCCCGATCCCTACGATCCGATTGTAAGAAAAGACGAACATTATTGACCGCTTGTTTAACTCGTACCCCGTTCCTATACAAATAAAGTGGCCGGATGAGAATTTATCGAATGCCTACGTATACTCGCCAACTACTCTTTTACATTCACCGGCGGGAATTTTTGAATTTCAAATTACTTAATTAGAGTTGCAATAATGATTGCCATGCAATATAGCCCTAAAATATTTCAACTAAGTCAGGATACCGGCTCTCGAACGAGCTTCTTTCAGGCTACCGGCCGAAGGTATACTCCGCAGTAAAATGGCTACTTAAACAGTATGCATCTTCCCCATTGATATGCAATGCCCTTATAAATTCAAATATATCTTACATAAAAGGGGCATAAAAATAAGCTCTCTTGTACTCTTTTGATAGCGAAATATGCCTTCTTTAAAGGATACTTTTTCTGTTTTGAAAAGGTGTCTACAGATGAGATTTTTTAAGCTCGTCAGCTGCTCATTCAATCAAGTATACAACGCAATCCCCATCCATTGCAAAATGTGATGTGAACTATGTGACCTCTTCTTAATAGCGTAAAGGAATTTGGGATTTTCATTAGGCAGAATGTATGCAGCAGATAGTTTGCGAACCCTCCAAACTGCCCGTGCAACAGCTAGCTGGGTACAAAATTATTCGGCAAATTAGCAAGCTTTCGAAAACTGAGAAATAATTTTTTTTAAATTCCGAAATTTTAAAGAAGGCTCAATTTGCTACCAAATAAATACAAGAAAGAATATTATTGTGCATGTTTGCAATTTATGAAGGCATTGAAAATCGATGAGAAGAATGCCTGTTACTTATTCAGTCATGGTTTACTGAACATGCCTTTGCCGGCTGCCAGAAAGCTCTTTCAAAAAACCGTTATTCTGATGTAACTGAAATATATTAAAAGAAAACGGCACGATAATCAATATCACTGATACTGATACAACCCCATTTTAATAATTTGTTCGAATCGAAGAGAAATTTCGGAAAATGGGATAGGGAATCTACTGTACGTAGCCAGAACAGCTCTGATCATGCTTGATTTAGATCGATGTCTCGACTAGGCCGCAGAATTGCCATCCGTCGGGCATGACGATATACAGTAGCGGATTTACAGCGACGGAGACCAAAAATGGAAGCTAAAAAAATCTTCCACTTCCTCGATCGTCTACAGTTAATCAATAACCTCCTGCAATTAGATTGGCTAAGTTTCGCAGGATGAGCGTTTCACATGACGAGCTCGGTGCCTGAACGGATTAAATTCGTTAACTGAGGTTTCACTGTATCTGGTTTTTTTTAGGCTGGCAGCTTTCTTCTGGTCGGAGATACGGGTCGAAAGCACGTTGGTCTTGCTTGGAATGTTCACATTCTCATAATGAGGCATCTCACAGAAAAGCACGCGTGCGCGTTCCCCAGGCTGCATGCCATGAACTACTTCGACCTGAACGGGATACTATAAATACACGCAAGTTTTCAGTGAGAATAGCTTTCGTATTTTAAATAAATTTCTTCGACGGCAACCACGGTCTCTTTCGCTGCCGTGTCGGTGTCTGGGACAACAGTCGGGTATGCATAGGCTTCGTGTGAATTCTAAGTACGAGGCCAGATCATAACAGGTCGATACAGTGTTTATGGATAAACAAACTATTTTCACGACAGCATTCAACCTTGATTTTGTGTTTTTTGAGTCACTATAGCTTAAATCTAGCAGGTTGATATTGTCAGTCCAGTTGAGATAAGCCAATTGACGGCTAACAGCCGACTTTAGTACCATTTTGCAGAGTTAACAGAAGGAATAATTTGTAGCGGGGCCTAGCTACAACCTGGAAAGATAACTGTTCCACCCCTGCCCCTGACCACTCACTGAAGCGGACTGATGACTTCAATGATAAACATTTGCTTCTGCCTTCGTCGTTGACTGCAGCTGTTTTTTCAAGATCCGATTGCAGCGATCGGCCTGCACAGTGCTGAGTAGTCGTAAGTTCACCACATCTGTTTTTCGTACTCATTGGCAGCTGGGGGCGCGAGCATGAGAGGTGAACTTTCAGGTATTTGTGTGTTGTTGCGACCGAGGCTATGGCCACCATCAATGTTAGTGTTGTTAGTTTCAGCACCATGCCCTGATCAGCTATCTTAAATCCAGTTCAGGAGCTCTGGATTGGCTAGAATGTAGTAACTCTGGTTGACTTGCATGATAGTGATGGCGCTAGAAACACCTGTTTGTGACAACTACCTGGTCCTGGTGATCAAAGTTCACCATTCTCTGATCGGGAATCAGGCCAAATAGAGGATTTTGAGGAGTCGCCTTGTCCAGCCTGAGTATCAATCAGTAGGCCACGGTGAGGGAGCAATATTAGCAGCTGTGACTACCAGGCCCGATAATAACAGGTCGACCCAGAGTTTGTGGATAAACAAACTATTTTAACGACAGCAGTCAACCTTGACTTTATGCTTTGCGAGTCACCATAGCTTCAACCTAGCAGGCGATATTATCAGCCCCGTCGAGATAACGCAGTTGACGCCTAAGCGCCGACTTTAATACCACAGGGCGAAAGCAAGAAGGCTGTCAGTTGTCTCGTAGGCTGATGATGTCAACGATAAACATTTTTTGCTGCCGCCTTTGTCGTCGTTGACTGCAGCTGCTTTTCAAGACCCGGCTACTGTGGTCGGTCTCAACCGTGCTGAGTTGGCAAAATTTAACCCCATCAGTGTTTTGTGATCATAAGCAGCTGGGCGCGCATGAGGAGTGAACTTTCAGGTGTGTATGTGCGAACGGGGATATACTCCCCACCAGTGTTAGTGTTGACGGTTTAGGCACCAGGCCTTCATCAGTTATCGTAGATCCAATTAAGGGGACTTGAAATAGCTAAAATTTAGTCAATCGGGTTGACTGAACGATTATTGCTTGCATGATTTTTATGGCATTGGAAGCGCCAGTTTGTGACAATCAGCTAGTTCGAAGTTCACTATTCTCTCATCAGGAGCCAGGCCAAATAAGACGACGTTGAGGGCTCGCTTGGTCCAGTCTGAGTATTTCAGTCTCCGTCATCAGTCAGCAGTTCACAGTGGGGGAGCCTTCCGGGTAATTCTAGCAATTCTGAGTAAACAGCTTCTTGGTCGGCAGCTCAAGTTGGTGCTGACATGGAGACAAAAAGCATGTTCGTAAAGCGATTTTTCAGTCGCAGCTAAGCCAGCCTGTTATTGACTGGTTGCCACACAAGTTGCAGGAGACCGGTGGCCACCCCGTGCCTGTCAGAAGGGCCGCGTTGGCCGCTGTCATAGATGAAAAGGGCAGTTGACCACCGGGATATTTATTTCCGGATAGTGATCGTGAGCAGAGAATAATATGTTGCCGTTGGTAATTTTTG